CGCTCCGCCCCTCGCCGCACCGCGCCCCGGTTCCCACGGCGCCGCCGGGCACCGCGAAAGAACCCGCCTGCCCTGCAAGCAGTCCCGCCGGGCCAGGCCGCGCGAACATGGCGCTTGTCCCCTGCCAGGTGCTGCGGGTGGCCATCCTGCTGTCCTATTGCTCCATTCTGTGCAACTACAAAGCCATCGAAATGCCCTCTCATCAGACCTATGGGGGGAGCTGGAAGTTCCTGACCTTCATTGATCTGGTAAGGCCATAGGCTGTGCTGTTTCTCCCTCGTCCAGCCTGTACCGCCCCCGCCCCGGTGTGTGTGTGTGTGTGTGTGTGTGTGTGTGTGTGTGTCTCACAAGCACCAGCGTGTGTGCACCACCAACAGTCTTGCTGGCTGGGCTCCCATGAAGGCCTGGATGCCCCTCTCACCTTTTACCTGGTAGGTAGGGGAGGTAAAAAGATGGGGCACAGCCAAATGGGCACAGGTCTGCTTCTAAGAAGTGACATAAGAAGAGGATTCTGCCACCAAAAGCGTCTGTCAGCCTTGATCCTGAGTATCCTCAGGTTTATTCGCCTCAGGAAGTGCTTTCCAAAGCCACCTGCCAAGGTAAACTTGCAACACTCACGCGGGATTCTGAGTATTGCCTGGTTTCTTGGAATATGGCTTAGAAGCAACGGAACCCCTCCGTCGGAGGGAGAGAAATCACACAATAAAACCTTCTTTGCACATGCCTTTTCTGCCCCTTGTCAACAGTGTGTTTCTGACCTTTCCACTAGAAAACAGGGAGAGAACAGTTCATGGCTGGGCTCGACCTGACATACTTGGAACTTCCAGTCTTCCACAGTGAAAGCTTGTAGTTTGCGTAATCATCTCTTCAGTTGACATGTGATACTTGTAAGCAGATGTGGGAGACTATAATTACTAGTTTAAAGTTTTCCTACACGGGCACCCAAAATACTCTTGCAGATAATCAGAGGGTGGACACAATGCCCAGTCATGGCATGAGGTAGACCTGAAACTTCTCAGTGAAAAGTCACCAAGACAAAGCTAAAAGGTCACCAAACATGGGCAGTGTAGGGAAACAAAAGCCATTTAAAAATCACAGGGAGAGAGAAAAAAATACAACCAATTCCTGGACTGCTAGGACTATCTGAGATTATACAGTTGGCCCATCCACAAGGTTCTCACAGATTTTGTTGATTCTCCATCTTGACAAATTTGAACCTATTTGAAGATCTTTCCAGAAGTGTAGAATATCTTTAGGAACACAGCTAGATGCTTTCAAGAGACCTTCAGTTTGCATTACGTAAGATGTACTGCCTTTTTCCCAGCTGCCTTGAGGCACAAGACTGCCTAGTGTTACCTAAATTGATATTTCAACTCCTTGGAATTGACTTTGCTCGGAACGTATGAATTCCCTACCAGTGTTCCTTTCTTCCTATGCCTGTCCACCTGGGGAGCACATGGTGGGGCTTTGCTCCCAGTTCCTTGTATCTTTTGGGTAGATAGTTATCAATATTATCCTGGAGGAGCTGATTGGCTAGTCGGTGGAGATTGGCTTTGCCAGATGTGTAGGACAGCAGAAGCTCACATCGTCAGAGTCAGGCCCCGGCAGTTACGTGCAGAGAGACTTTAGAGCATGCACAAGGCATCATGTCTCTTCTTACAGAGGTTTCCTGCAAACATCAGTGATGCTCACATGCCATTAGAAAAAAATCTGTGCATAGATTTTCAGAGTCCTTTAGAATTAAGACCTTCTCTCACTCCTGAGTCAGTTCTTCCCTTGAGTTGGCCCATTTGAGTGTTGCCAGCTCTACATGAACTACATGCTCTCATGAACACTGTTCTACTGTTCTTTTGCCTTACATGGCTCTTGTGTGGGGAACGGAGACACAGGTCTTGGGATAATCAGGGTAGAAGTTGGGGGTGCTGGTCAACCCAAGACAAGATTTCTGCTTCACACATTGGCATTGCTTATTGTGAGTTAGGAAGCAAGGCTCACAAGAAACAGTCTCCCTGCTGCTAACCTTCGTGTGACTTGAGACAGCAGTAGAGTTGGTTTGATAGGCTGCCATGCCCTTTCTATTTTTGTATTCAATGGTTGGACTTGTTTCTTTTTAATAGCACTTAACTATGCAGGTTTGTTTATTTTTTAGTCCAGTATTAAACTCAGGTTTTAACTTCATTTTACATTTATGTTTTAGTCCCTGTTTATCTCGCGTCTTAACCCAGTCATTCAAGCATGTCAGGTTCTGTGGCTACTGAATGCAGTAGAATAATTACACTTAACAAATAGTTCTTAAGAGAAACCCCATCTAAAATATAGTCCAAAACGCATGCAGACTGTTAATTAGAAGGTTAGAGTCCTTGGGGGCATTGTCCACCTGTTCAGATAGTCAACCTGTCTGACCCTTGTGATACCATTTAAAAAGGACCCTAATGAAAGTTACCACTTGATTTTATGACTGTGTGCACACATGTGTGTATATGTGTGTCTCTGTGTTTTTAAATGCCAGTGAATAAACTTTACTTACTAACATCTTGAGCAATTTTAATGATTCTAGCCCATTTTCAAAGAGGGCAGTTGCTTTTCACAATTTCCATGACAAGGCCCCATTCTGGCCAGCCTGGATTGGATGGCAGGTAAGGGCACTAACCCTGACAGCCGTATTTGGGTTCTGGTTCTGCCACATCAGCTTCCTCCAGAAGGAGTCAGGAAACTTGGTCTCTAGTATCCAGGTGCAGATGGCTATGTGGTGGTGGCCATGCTGGCCTAATGGAGAGTCATTCTAGCAGATTCAAAACCTGTGGTCAAATGCTGAAACTTAGCTTGTTGCTACCAGTACTCTTAGATCATTATTGCCCAAGAGTTGCTTTTCTTAGTGTGGAAAGACTGTAAGGGAATGAGAGTGTTATTGGAGAATTCAGGTTAGTAAGTGGGAAAAGACCACCTTGATGTGTTAGGGAGAATCATGGGACACAAAGATTTTCAGTTCTTAAAGCTCAGCATCCATGACTAGGTTAAATTACTGGACAAGAGGGGAGTTAAGACCGCACGTGGAATTTGCACCGCTTAGCAACTGAGCTTAATTCTTTCTGGAATATGCAGAATAATGAACTGGGTTCTGTGTACTCGTGAACATCCTTAAAAGCAGAATAACAAAACAGGAGAAGATTCAAAACGAGGGAGAGGAAGATGTTACCCATAAGTGAAGGACAGAGTGGTAGGTAATACTGTCAGTTGTGAAGATGGTCGAGGGGACCTTCAGGCCAGAAAGGGGCAAGGAACTGAATTTTCCCCTAGCATTTCTGGAGGGTGTACACATCAGCTGATATCTGAGTTTTACCTCAAGGAAACCTGTTTTGGACTTCTGACCTCTGGAGCTATAAAATGCTAAGCTCGTGCAGGTTAGGGCCCTACCATTTTGGTAGCTTGTCCTAGCAGCAATAGAAAAAGAATATTCTTGGCTGTAGAGCCTCTGGTAGAGAAAATATCCTCATAGCTGAATGCAGCGATTTTGCTGGTCCTTTATGCATGATGTCCTTTATGTCCGTTAGACAACTGTTTCATTTTGGATTGTATGCAAACATAGGATCTTAGATCCTTCATCACATGGAGCATGTGTATGTGCAACATTGGGCAGTGGGAAATGGTTCAAAGACCAAACAACACGGAGAAGAGTAGGCCTTTTCTTTGCTATTAACTATCTCAGAAGCTATTGCTGAAGAACTGAGCCAGAAATACTACTCTTAATTGTAAATGTGCTGGAAAAAAATTAAACAAACTATTTGGATATTCTCTTAGTCAGTGTATTTACTGAGGAATTTTCTTCGCATGATCAGGATTCATGCCTGTATTCACAAGCTGCATGGTTTTTCTTCAGCTCGCATAGTAATTTCCCCCAAAGATAATTAAAACAAAGGATTAGAATAGAAGCCACATAAATTAAACTAAAGGCAACTGTGTTGTATGAGCCCTCCTGGTAATGCCTGGAGCAATACGTTGTAAGCAAGTGTCTGAACAAGCGGGAATGATCTCTTTCCAAATAATTTAGGAGTATTCTTTTCTTCTCCTCCCTCCTTCCAAAATATCAAAGCCAATTTTAAAGTGTTTTGACCCACCCGAACGTGGTTTAGGTGTGTACAGTAGAATGTCTAATAATGGAGTCAGAATCTGCTTCTTTGAAAACATGATCTGGATATGTGTTACTAAAGCTTAGCAACGATGTTGGATTCAAGTTCCTAAAAATCAAATGAGACCTGGTGTTCTCAGGCACTTCTGGTTTTGTTTCTTAGCCTTTGTAGAGTTATTGTTTCTCATGGCAGTGTTTTGCTCATTGATTTCATACTGACTTTTCATTCATGCATTGACAGAACGTGTTCTTTCATCCCCCATTCTCACAGTGTGAACGGAGATCCGCAGGGCCAGCCTTCTGCAGGTGCCAGTCTGTAACTCACATGTTTCGTTTGAGTCCTTGTTCCTTGGCTGTGACAAAATACCTCCAAAGAAGAAATTGAAGGGACTAGCAGTTTGATTTGGATCTCAGTGTGTGAGAGAGGGTATAGTCTGTCATGAAGGGAAAGTCATGTTGGCAAGTACATGTGTGTAGTGGGTCACATGGCTTGGACGTGGTCTCTTAAAGGCTATTGGCTGAAGGAGCAGAATGTGCTTCCACAGGACGTTCTGATGTCGGGAAGCAGAGAATGGAACTGGGCAGCAAATCTTTAAGGCTCCTCCACACTCTTGAAAGAGGCTCCGACTCCTGAAGTTTCTATAACCTTCCAAAACATGATGAGTTGGCAGGGACCAGGCACTCGAACATGTGAGCCTATGGGCAACAATCCACATCCAAACCTCAGCACCTTCTCAACCAGACTTTACATCTTTATAAGATCATCCGGTGATGCTTGCCCATATTCTAATTCGATAAATGATGTTCCGGACTGCACTGTTTTGTAATTTAATGCGGAATGCCTGCATATACTAATTATACATGCTTACAAAATTAATAATTTTGTAATTATTATAATACATATATATAAAGCATATATAATTAATTATATATGCTTATGGTGCCTTGAACTATGACATAGTGAAAACACGCAAAGGATTACAGCTCGAGAATAGAAGAGGAAAAGAGGTACTATTACATCAGTGGTGGGCTAGTTACTACAACTGAAAAACATATCGGGATAATCTTTGGGGGAGCCAAGACGTACAAAAATTACACTGTCTTATTGTCCCTGGAGTTGAA